TCGGGCGCCCGAGCACACTGCTTGTTTTGTATGGTCTGCAAAACACGTAGCTACCACCCGCAAGGGAAAAACAAAGCACCGCCACAAACCAGAAGCCCCGGCAAATGAAACCCACTTCCAACAATGTCTAGAGCCATGGCAAAGGCATGGGAAGGTCATGACCTGTCGTCCGTCACCAATTTCGGCTGCAAATGGCTCCCCTCACTACAGCTCTGAATCAGTATGCGGCTTGGCTCCGAAAGGGTGAACCCCTAAAACTGGCGCTCAATGACAGACCCATACGAGCCCCGGACAAAACTTATTGTTTCCCCAAGAGGACATGGGAAACTTACGCACAGTCCTCTGGTTTTGGGAAGTTGAGAGAGTCCCCCATGTCCCTCTCAAAAATGACCAAACCTTTGGTCTGAACAACCTCTTCTTAAGATTACGAAGGAATCTCCAAGGGACGTTCATACCCCAATTGGTGAGCCCATTTCACTTGGCCAAGTTACCCGTACGTGCTGTGGTCAAGACTCCTTGTCCTTACTAGGACTCATGATGCTATAAAATCCTAGGCTTCCCTTCCTATAGGGTGACCCCTGCAATGGGTTCGTTCGATCACGTTCCAAACTCGGATGCGGAAAGCGCATGACTAATTGTCCTATGCAAGCTGGAGCCTGTTCAATACAACCCTTTTGGGGAACGTATGAGCATTTCATAATGTGCAAGCCTTCTGGAACACACTCATGTGTTCCATGGTCAAAAGACCGATTCCTTGACTTGGATTTATCAGGGATGGTCAACTGTGGATCCCTCCTCCTGGGCGACGATATCCGCGGTCAACGTGTTCATCGCTTCCTCCGTCTCTGGCCTCACCATCTCCACGCCCGCGTCGTCCCCACCGTCTCCGTGGAGCTCCATGAGCTTGGTGATGTCGAACTTGGGCTTCTTCAGAATCTTCACCTCGACATCTTTGCTTGGAGACGCCCCTCAAATGGCGCAAACGTGTTCCTTGTGGTTTTCCTTTGAACCCACAAAATGCTTGTCTGAGACTGCAAAGATTGCGGGAACTATGATGGCATGGGTGCTAAGCGGGGTGTCAAACTTCCCGTTTGGAGCTGCTTTCAGGCGAGTCAACCTGAGGCTAGTTTAAAGGCGTTTTTCCCTTTGGCAACCAGACCCGCTTTGTTTTGAACATGTCCTTGTTTGACACCCTCCTTTTCCGGCTCAACATGATACTAGGGTCCCCAACAGCTGCCTGAAGCGGCCTTTTGGCCAGGTGGGCTTGTCTGTTTTGGGAATCTGAAGAAGCTGCAAGTTTGTTCCCCCCGCCTTGCGGATCAGGCAGTCCTTCAGAGGGAAGGTGCCCTGCGCCTCGGATTTTTTCGCAAGACACGTCGCGCGAACGCGATGTGTGTTTTCTGGGGTTGCAAGTGTTCTGGAGGTTTCATGGGTGCGGAGGTTTCTCGGCTCCTGCCAAAACGGACCCTTTGGATCCGGATCGGATCCCCTCGCCTGCTTCTCGATCTCCTTGCCGATGGACTCGGGGATCAGCTTCTTCACCAGCTCCCGGAGCTGAACCTTGCTGGCCTCCTACGTCGCGAGATAAGAAGGACTCACCCGGAGGGGATTCTTTTCGGATGTTCAAAAGGTCGCGAAAAGATGGCCGTCTTTGGTATGTGTTGCTTTTGGCCAAGTCGCATGTTGTGCTTTGTGGTTTGTTACAGCTCTTCCCCAACTATCATGGAAGTGGACGAGAGAGTTTTTGGAGCAGCTCCACTTGAAAAAGGCCCAGTGCTCCTTCCACAAAAAATGTTAAAAACAGGGAACATGTTGGCTGGCGAGCGGGAAAATTCGGATGCAAGTAAAAGGCCCCACCACACCGCACACGTCATGACTCCTTGGAAGGATGCCATATCATGAGGCTTACCTTTGGTTGTAGCTTGGGGCAACTGGAGCATTGGTTGCCATAGAACCATGATTGTCTTTTGGCCGGCTAACCACGTGGGACGGTCCTTCAAAAGAACCACGGTATAGAACTTCGCGACACGGTTCCCAGCCAACCAAGGTCTTGGGGGTCTGGATTGCTGTTAGCAGGAACTGAGAAGCACCCTTTATCCAAACAGGAATGGAGGAGTAGGCCCTCTCCTGGCCAGAGGCGAACGCCTGTTTCAGAGTTTTCAGAAACCGCCAGAAAAGAGGCAAGCCAACTTAGGGGTGGTCCCTCGGTTCGCAAGCGGGTCTAACAACTAATCAGCTTCTTTGCACCTTGTTTTGCTGGCATGTGTCAAACTCGGCATCTAAGTATTTCTTGCTTGCTTGCTTGCTTGCTCGCTCGCTCGCTCGCTCGCTCGCTCGCTTGCTTGCTTGCTTGCTTGCTTGCTTGTGTCCTGGACAATACAGGGTGCATACTATCGACAAAAGATGGGCAACCCTCCTGTTGCTGTACCTTGGCGCTTTGCTTGCAAAATTACAGTCCAAGCTTGGGTTGGTACACCCACCTGGAGCTTAAGCAAGACCTACAAACAAGTCTTTATTTTCATCCACACAACTACCATGTTCCTAATGCAATCTCCGTGGGATCAGGGCCTCAGCTCAAGGTAAACCTACCAATGACGACCCGGGTAGGACCTACCACTGCGAAAACCCCTCGAGAATCATCTCCTGCGTCATGATGTCCACCATCTTCCTCCGGATTTTCCGGATCTGAGCCGACTGGGCGTAGCAGTTGGCCTTCACCTGAAGGAAAAACGCAAGGCTCTGTTCAGGATGTGTTTTTGTTGATGAACCAATGGGAAAGCTACCATTTTAGGGTCCTTGTTTAAGACGCTGGGCGGGAATCACGGTTTCAACTCGAGCGAAGCCATGATTTCTGGAGGAAAACAGCGAGAGGCTCCCCATCTTCCAATGTCGCCGTGTGTTTTATGGTTCCGTTTTTTGTGGTTCGCCACAGTTTGCTTCGAAATGTCCCACAGCGCCTGGTCTGGGCGCCTCTTGGTGAAGGCGACGCAGAACATGCGGACGACATAGCCGTCAGTGGTCTTCACATCCACATGGGCCTGGAGCCATTTTGCTGTCTGGAGGTTCCTGGAAGACCATTTTGCGGCCACTCCAGTTCCATGTTGGTGGGATGGCATATGGTGCTGAGAAGACGACCTGGTGAACTCTGAACCAACTGAGGATTGTCCAAAAAAGGGGTGCCTCGTGGACCTTTTTGTGACCCCCCGTCTAAAGGACATCAATGGGCATTAGGGTCCCAAGTGGGGACTCTGTTGGTTACGTGATGTTACATGTGTAGATCTTTGAATTGTGCAAACCTCTTTACACTTCAGTTCTAAGGGCCCAGAGGTTCTGCCGCTCGTGTGTGGTCGATATTCTGTCCGATTCCTGGTTTGACGCATTGGGCATACCACCCTTTGGATAATTGCAGAAGGAACCCAAGCTGCTACCAATCCAGTGGAGGTTGGTTCCTCTTGACGTAACCATGTGAGTACGAATCTCAAATGGGGAACCTTTGACAGATGGGGATACATGTGTACAATTTGTTACACAATTCCGCCAACCATTTCAAATGGTGTCCCCATTCAAGTTCAAAGCCATATTTGGGAATGTCAACCAACAACCGAACCCTCCAAATGGCTATCAGTGCAACGCTGGTTTGAGTCGAAAGAGGTCCAACTCACTTCAAGCTGTTCCCGCGACGCCTGCACTTTTCCATCCTGGTCCAGCTATTTCGCACACCCTCCACTCTTCACAACGAGAAAACTCCAACCTACAAACCGAGACCACCAACAAAGACCTCCCAAAAGGGACCACCCAGAAAGCTCCCCAGAGCCCCCCCTCCCGGAACCACAAGACCCCAAATCTGTCCCACAGCGAGAACCGAGCTGCCTCAATCAGGGTCTGCCACTTCTTGATCAGGGAGCAAATCCTTGGTTGGTCAGTGGATTTCAAAAAAAAAACAAAAGCTTGCCCTTTGTTCTTCGGGAAGCCTCCAGTGACAAGGGAAAGAAAAATCATCCAAGTCCAACGAGGAAAAGACCGGTCGAAGCTGTCGAACGTGCCGCTTGCTCAAAGAGCTTTCTGCACATAGTCACTTCAAAAGTGGGACCCGTACTCCCCCCCACAAAAAAAAATGGGCAAAAAGAGAAGGAGAAAAAAAACACGCAAGCCGCCAGCCCGCTTTTGGGATTGTTTTTTCTCCAGTCAGCTTGGTCACTTGTCCCTGGTCAGCGTCATGCCGTGGAAGTCGGTGAGGCAATTCCGGCCCTGGACCTCCTCGATGCAGAGCCGCACCTTCTTGGAGGCCTGGTCCTCGTCGTTGTTCAGGTCCGCGAGGTTCACCTATCGGGATGCACGACTCAGGCTTTGCTTTTGATTGAAAGTCTATGGGGTTTGGGTTCAAAATGCCTGGAATCGTTTCCTTTCCAAGGCGTTTGGTTGAAAAGCAACTGCAGGGGGGATCAAGCCCAGTCCCAAAATGGAACCCTGATGGGAATTTCTCATCCTCTTCTCGCCTCCAGGACGCGGCCCTTGAGCTCCTCTGTGGCGATCTTTGTGCCCTGGGTCCGGGACACCAAGGTCTTCCCGCACTGCCGGTTGGTGAACATGCTCGGGGCCTCCGGGCGGATCTTTTTTTTGACGGTCGCCCCTTTGTTTGGTGGTCATAAAGGGAAAACCACAGGGAAAACCACCACTGTGTGGGTGGGGTCCTTTGAAAAAAGAAGACGAAGAAGAACAGACTAAAGGCCATTCGAATGTCCCCTGAAATGAATGTCTCCACAAAAGACATGAGACATCAAAGTCACTGGTGAAGGCAGGGTAACCCTTCAACCCACCAAAGGATTCTAGACTGAGGGCATTTTTTTGAAAAAATCAAAGAGAACGACCAAAAGGAATCATACACGCTTGATAGACGATACGTGCCTTTACCATACATTCATCATTTGATTGCTGATCTTTGAAGGATGATACATACATACATGGAAAATACATGAATATGAGTTGGTGTGTTTGCATACATATCTGTGCGTGTGTGTGTGTGTGTGTGAGTTCGTATGTTTAGGTGTATACATGTCGTTTTTTTCTCTTATTCTGAACCTGAACTGGTTGGCAGTAATCCATTTATCTGAGCCAGCATCTAGCCTTTCTTTCGCTCGTGCTGCAAGTATTTTGCAGCATTATACAGTTTCGCAAGCAAATGGGTGGGTAGTTTGCTAGCGAGGATGAATCTCCTGCCTTATTGAGCGTGACTCGTTTGGTGTGTTACATTTCTTCCCGTATGCATGCGTTAGCATCCTGTCGGTACATCTGTCTACTGGTTGCACAAGACCCATGCTACTGCTAGTGGGACCAACCAGTCTCTAGGAGTCTCCTCCACACCTTCGAACTTATCCCAACGCCCAAGGCTCGAGATTTCCAAGCACCCGCCTTGATGTCATACCACTCCTTGCGGAGGAAGGGGTCACCCGCCTTCTTCTTGCCGCCCTTCTTGCCACCCTTTGTGAGTCTCTTGTTCTTGCCAACAGCCATCGCAACAGCTCGATTTGTGCCACCTACCGTAGTCTCGAGCCAAAAGTGCAGAGACACCACGAGGAAACCCGTCATTTGTGAGGGTGCCCTATTTTGGAAACATTCATTGACTCGTACACCTGCATAGATCCTGCCATAAGCATGCCATCCCCGTAAGTTCTTAAAATGCGACACCGCTACGATTGCCAGGTCTGCGGTTACTGACCGGAGTGTCGCAAAGGAATAGATTGCGTGGCAAATGTATTTTGTTGGAGTAGTGATTAGATCACGTAGTAAACCCAATAATCTGGCAGCTTCAAATATAAATGATGTAGTAGACGTTGCACGTATCGCGCCTCGTGAGACACTCAAAAATGGCTCATGGCGTGAGTGCTTCGGTGCTAGGGAAAAGCCGCTGGTGGTAGTTGACGGGTCTTTCCAAAAAACATACAATCAAAGGGCGGATCTCGCAGGCTGGACTGGGACTGTAACTTCGACTGAAAGTGGGCACCTCTGGTCGCTCCAGGAAGTCTGCCTCCAGGCGGCCCCGGTCAGACTCCTGAGAACAGAGCCCGGAGCTTCAATTGAGACAGTTGACCCCGGATTTAACTCCCACATTTCTCCATGCCAACTTATGAAACCAAACAGGTTCTGAGGAATCCTCTTTTTGCAGTTCTGCAACAGGGGAGTAGAACTCTTTCCAGATTACCCCATCGGAGCTGCGTCTATGCGCTGGTACAGGTGGAATCTTACATCGGTTGGGTCCTCAGCTGATGCCACATGAGCACGCTTGCCTCCCCCACGAAGCCGCAGCTTGGCCAATGAGAAACAACGACGCTTGTAGACCTATAAGAGATCGCATACACTGGTGGAACAAAATCTTGGGAAGAATTTAGCTCATGAGGATACTGAAGAGCGATTGTTGCTGATGTTCGTTCAATGCTAGACTGTCATACCTGTGCGCATTGTTGTGATGCTGATGCACATCATAGATGGGAAACGTCCAACTTCCCTGATCAATAAAGGGGCCATCCACATCGAATTGAGTCCAATTGCGAAGAATAGGATACGTAAATATCCAAAGGGTCACCCCCCAAGTTAGTAGAAGCCCAGGTTTGCCCGGAGAGGGCGCCATGAAATACCCTTTATCTCACGACCCTAGGCTCCTAGCGCCACAAGAGAATGGAGCGCCTTGAGGAATATGGCTATGCGCGTCATGATCATGGTTCCCTAGGAACCCTTCCATTGGTTGCGATGCATGTTTCTTGGGGATACCCTTCCACCTTGGCGTGAAAGCGAAAAATCCGAGGAAAGCTGAAATCCATTTTTTGATTCCCCTCTGACACAAACCAGTGTGTTTAAAAACCCGGACCGATGCATGGAGCAATCCCGCCCCGTGGCCCCAGGTCCCCGGCCCCAAACCGGAAGAGCCCCAGCCGCAGATTGTAGAGCGGGGCCTTGGTGTACACCTGAGCCAACCGGCCGCCGGGAGCGGCCCGCTTGTGTATTTGGTGGACAGAAGGAAGGCGCAAAAAGTAAGGGAAAACCTGGTTTTTGAAGAGGAAATCCACAAGAAAACCAAAATTTTGGTCAGGGGCCCGAACTTAGGAAACACGCATCTGATGTGTAGGGAGTGAGTCATATCCCCCTTTCTTCGGGCAACCTTTTTACGCAGACCAAAGCAAGGGATTCCAACTGCAAGGAAGTGTGTTTGAGGTGATGTAAGTGGTAAAATAATCACACACGCACACGCACACGCACACGCACACGCACACGCACACGCACACGCACACGCACTCGCACACGCACACGCACACGCACACGCACACGCACACGCACACGCACACGCACACGCACACGCACACGCACACGCACACGCACACGCACACGCACCCGCACACGCACACGCACACGCACACGCACACGCACACGCACACGCACACGCACACGCACACGCACACGCACACGCACACACACACACACACACACACACACACACACACACACACACACACACACACACACACACACACACACACACACACACACACACACACACACACACACACACACACACACACACACACACACACACACTCACACACACATCGAATTCTCGCTATGATGAACTTAATCGCTCCCTGTCGAGCACTCACAAGGAGAGTTAGTCACCGGGAAATTGCGTGGCCATCAGGTTTACGGACATCATCATACCTGATCGTCTTATCAAACAAAAAGCGAGCAGAAGAGGAAGGAAGGAAGGAAGGAAGAAGGAAGGAAAGGAAGGAAAGGAAGGAAGGAAGGAAGGAAGGAGAGGAAAGGAAAGAAGGAAGGAAGGAAGGAAGGAAGGAAGGAAGGACGGAAGGAAGGAGGAAGGAAGGAAGGGAAGGGAGGAAGGAAGGATCGAAAGGAAGAAAGGAAGAAAGGAAGAAAGGAAGAAAGGAAGAAAGGAAGAAAGGAAGAAAGGAAGAAAGGAAGAAAGGAAGAAAGGAAGAAAGGAAGAAAGGACGAAAGGAAGAAAGGAAGAAAGGAAGAAAGGAAGAAAGGATCAAAGGAAGAAAGGAAGAAAGGAAGAAAGGAAGAAAGGAAGAAAGGAAGAAAGGAAGAAAGGAAGAAATGAAGAAATGAAGAAATGAATGAATGAATGAATGAATGAATGAATGAATGAATGAATGAATGAATGAATGAATGAATGAATGAATGAATGAATGAATGAATGAATGACTGAATGAATGAATGAATGAATGAATGAATGAATGAATGAATGAATGAATGAATGAATGAATGAATGAATGAATGAATGAATGAATGAATGAATGAATGAACGCAAGAACCCAACAAAAGAAAGGCTAAAAATATAGAAGAGGAAGAAGCAGACGAAACGACGGCGACAGCTTTGTCCTCTTGGGGCGCAGGCCAGCCGCCGAGGGATCCAGGGCGGTAAGGTAGATGTGAAGGCCTGGGGCGGAGCTGGGGCGCGGGAGGTGGAGCTGGTGGGGCAAGGTGAGGTGAATCCCAAACTGGCCATGACCACAGTGAGACGTTGGAGGGGAACTGAAAGGGCCCCATGTGTTTCGAGCGTGCCAAGGAACCCACGCGACGATTGCCTAAACGTATCAAGGGGTCCAGAATTGAGGTGGACTACACCAGCAATACCAGCGGACTCATATACTAACTTGGATGACAAAAAAAAGACCTTGATCAAGGGGCCAAAATCAAATCTGTCTGAATGAGGCGCTGCTTCCCTGGACAGTGATTCTGTTCAGAAGGTAGTTTCCACACATAGCTGCTCATGGGGAGCGGGTGAGAGAGAGTGAGAAGGAGAAAGAGAGAAATGGACATAAAACTATAGCTAATTATCTAGGATATCACACGGAGGGAGCAAGGCAAAGGCTTGTGCTAAGAGTCCGATCACAACTGGCAGCAGTCCGCGTAGTGGGCGGCTCAGGCTTGGGCATGGTGATTCGTCAACGCTATGATGAAATTGTCCTGTAGTCGCATGCAGCCTTCTGTGTACGTGCACAATTTGGTGTGCGGAACAAAAATGAAGCGTCCCTTTGCGGATGGCTGCAAGGGAAAGTTCATTTTTTGGGGGTTTGCTGTTTGCTTTCTAAGAGAAAGTGCCCCTTGATACTTGTGTCCCATTTCGTCATTCTGGCTTCCCTCTAAAACCGCAAGGGGCCCAAAACAAGACAGACCCAAACAGGGAAAAACGTCTCCTGGCGCATGATGACGTTGGTGATCTCGAGGGCGTTCAACTCATCCTGGACTCTGCAGAACCGGGATTCCTGGCAGCAACGCTTCAGGTGGTTGGAATGCCAAAAAGAAGCGGATCCGCCCAGTGCGCAAAGTATCTTTGTAATGAGCACCCGAAGGTTGTGAAATAGGGACAACTCCTGGGTTGCATGTCCGCCATCTGAGGGTTGCTTTCAAGGGCTCCTTGACTTGACCCGTGCACTGAAAAGATTAGCGCATTGATTGGCGCCATTCTCACTGTCTTGCTTGGTTGGTCTTTCTTGGGGTCCGCAAAATATTGGCAACAACTTGCCTCTTTGGGACGAACTTGAACCAATGCCATCATTGCTCACAGTGCACATCACCCTTACTTGCTTCCATGTATCTGTACGTCCCTGTAGGCCAAAGGTGCACCAACCCTGAGGCCTCACTTGCCTAAAGGTCAACCGTTTGGGACCTTGACTAATGATCATGTTGTTCAGTCCCCTGCGGACTGAGCTGAGAAACCCCCAACAAGCCCATCACCGATCCCTCACTGAGAACCCCTTCGCCCGTACCGGAACCCCAAGGCCCGCTTGGCACATTCATTTGTTTTTTCCTATTTTTCTTAAAGAGCCATTGGATACTTAAATCCAACAAGGATATTGGGAGAGACCTGGCCCTCTTGTTCCCCTCGTCCCAAGCCGGCTATTTTTGGGTTCGGCCTTCTGACGCTGCACCAGGCGCGACACCACCTCGGACCAAAGCATCGTCTCCAGGGACTCGTCCGACAAGATGCCCAGCTGCTCCTCCCATTTTGGGGTGTCTTGGTTTGATGCTTGGTACCCATTTTGGCCGCGGGTTGAAAGGAAAACGCATTTAGAACATGATCCCGGCGCGGATTCCTAGCTTGAGAACTCATTTGGATCGGCCATTTGCTGGGAGGGAATCAACTGGCATGGGAATAAACCGCTGCTCCAAGAAAACATTTGGGGATGGTTCGGTTCGGGCTCAGTCCTTTCCCAGCACAACTTCGGACATGGGCTCGAAATGAAACCAGAAAATGTGAGCTCCCGTTTGGTCATGCAAGACAAACCGAGTGAAGACACAGGGCAACACTGGGATTTCGTGAAACCCAAGGAAACCGGGGTACAGCACTGGGCATGGTTTCGCCAAAAAAAGGCGCACCCTAAATCGATTTCCCAGGTGGTGGAAGACTACCTTCCAGAGGGCTTGGCATCACGGTTCCTGCCTTCCAAGGTTTTCCACCAAAACCCAAGGGAACAAAAAGGAAACTGCTGTGTAAA